CACACACACACACACACACACACACACACACACACACACACACACACGGCATCTAATTAACTCATTCTGAAAAATTGTAGTTTTACGTAGCGTAAGCAGATTAACAACATTAAACGGCATTCTTTGACGCCGGCAAATCGCTTTGAAGAAAGTAAATACGAACTGCAGGTGGAGTGGTTTCACGCACAAAATCATACAAACGAAATTTTCAGCAGTTTTTTCTTTTTTTTTTTCAAATGAAAACGTGACTTGAAATAGAAAAAATAATATAAAGAAAGCTTTTATTATAAAATGAATTACCACAAATTAGATATTCTTTTGTTAGATGACCGAAATTAGATGAATTTAATACATATTATTTTTTTTGGAAAGCTACACTCCATAATTCTCCTCCCGTTGACTTTGAAGAATGCGGAAGCGAACAGATTCTGATTTTTTTTTGTCACCGGGTGTTATGTGGATACCAAACAGAAAAAAACAACTGTGAACCACTTATAAAACGATTATTTATTAATTAAACGATGGTATCACGTTGAATATGCGATTAAATCATCGCGAATGTTCTGCCAGAAAAAAACAATTGGCCATTTTCTTCACATTAAATTAGAAAATCATTCCATAGTAGAAATTCGGACCGAGATCTAATAATTTAAGGTTACCAACACAAAGAATCCCGGTTGACGAATAGTCTTATAGCAGTTAGTGTCAATATGATTGAAGTTTTATGAGACTTCGGATGAAGTATAAAAATAGCTGGCAAATGCGTTAGAACAACACAACGCATGAAAAATATCGGATAAATTTATTTGATATTTGAAATTTATATAAATAAATTTATGTGCAACCAACCTCTGGTCTAAAATTCAACAAAGCCAAATAATCCAACAAACTGAATTTTTATGATAAAATAAATGAAATTTCATCGACATTGTGTAATATATTATATTGAGACTTGAAAACTTCTAGCACATTGAAACTACTGACATTTTCATTCTCATTCAAATCTGGCAATATAGCCAACAATGCCATATTGGTGTGATCAGCGTTCTTTAAAGTTAGTTTTGTGTTTCTTCTTCCAAATTCGTTAACATCAAAAACAACAACAGCCAAAAAGTAACACCAAAAAACGGCAATTATTTCTCGATTTCGTTATATGACGTCTTTGAATTCAATGTGTGATTGTTTCGGGGGGTCTGAGGATTGTAAGAACAATAAAGTAATATTTACCTCGTCGGACTTCTAGAAAAATATTCATTTGAGTTGGCCGACGTAATTAAAATATGAAGGTGAATCAACTTGACGAAGACGCTACCTGTAACGTATATGATGCATGTGCCATCAAGATTATTCGAAGTCTCCAATTGAACAGGGAACAATCGCAACAATTCGGCTAGAACACGGTGTTTAAATGATAATTTTGATTACCATACAAATGTTTGTTCGTCTTGAAATTTGGCTGTGCCTGTATTCTCTTCGTTGTACGAGGTAAGTTTTGCGTACGAATAAAAGATCGTTCGATGTGCAAATAATTATGTCCCAATCGAATGGATCGTTTGAATAATGTGCGCGCGTGTCACTTCCAGGAAAAATAATGTTAAGAAAGAACAAAGATGTGAACGTCAACGATGGATTTTGGGACGGAGACTCCTTCACGGAGTCAAAATGCATTTTTATGAAGGGAATTTCAAATTGTACAATCGATTCAACAGCACCTTAACCTTTTTCTCGTCGACATCGTTGTCTTCTTCTTGATTTTCTTCATCTCCGATACAAAATGCGATACGCTTAAATGTAATGCAAAATAGTGTAGTGTTGTTGCTTCTTTTTCGGCACATCACAGCATATATGCAGATGATTCCCATTTTATCGAATTCATGGATTCATTTGTGTTGTCTTGAATTTAATATTTTACGACCACTTATGCAACAGGCAATTTAAATTTGTGCATTTAAAGGCAAACGCGGCAATAACAGCAAACGTGATAATTTCCACAATAAATAATCGGTTCTGGCAAAACAGACGCGGCAACAACAACAACAACTGCATCCAGCATTTGATGGAAAAATCAAAAGAGGCGGAGTCAGACGGAGACCGAATGAGAGAAGAGTCATAGATAAAAGGTCTTCTTTCAATAGTAAATTTCAGACAATTGCACGATGACTTATGTTCGATTGATTTACACGAATTTCAAATTTATAAAGCAGAAACAAAAATCACATGCGAATCACCGCATACAACAAACGAACTCTGTTTTTATTGGATCACGTCAATTTTACGGCTGAATGGTTCGCGAATAATGAAAAAAAATACAGCACGGCCGCAATTGATTTGTCTGCATAAATTATCCTTTTCAATCTGAACGTGCGTGCTTTTGATATTCAAATTAAAATGAAAAAAATAAGAAACATTGAACATTCGGTCTACTAGATTGTGTGACTGAAATAAGGATTGAGTTTCATTTTGACGGCCTTTCGTATTGGCTGCTTTTTTTGCTAAAAAAAATTCGAAAAAAGAAGTACAAACGATAATCATCGATTAAATTGTAGAACAGTTTTACTAAATTGCATCTGATAAAAGAAGTCACAAGGTTTCCGCAGAAGAACAATAAAAACGGCTTTTAATCAATTTATTTATCATGTGCAGCGGGTGAGCGTGAGTGTGCGCGCGTGTGGAAAAGTCACAGAAGCTCCCACCCCCACTTGCTCATTGCACTTATGATTCCGTCCACTTCACATTACCTTCGATACCTGAGCAATTGTAATACACAACAACAACAATAACGACGAAAGATGAAACGAAAAACCATATATTGTTTGCTTACAGCTGTTACATTTTGTACGGTTACTGTTTCATATTTGTCCCATCCCAATAACAAATGCCAGCGAATGCGTTCATATACACAGGTTATAGATGCTGTTGCCGTTGATGCTTTACCGCCACTGCTGCCGTTTTTGTTGTTGCAGTAGTTGTGGCTCAATGATTTCGAGAATTGTATACACTCAACACTGAAAATATCTGTTGGAGGGTATAAAAGACGGTACCGAAGAGCAGACAGCTAACAATCGTCATATCGTCTGTACCGTGTACAACATAAACGATAAGGGAATTTAGCAACGAGAAAGAAAATTTACGCCGAATTTTCCCGTGTGTTGTTACCAAGTTTGAAAATCAATTTTTCACTATTTCACGATTTTGAGAGTCGCGTAAGGAATTCAAGCGTGCCATTTCTTCCAATCATCTTTTTTTTTTCAATCTTTTACAGTTGTTTTTAGAACATTCTTTTTGTCCTTTCGTTACCTATGTAAAGCGATTGTATTTTGCTTATTTTGATCGTGATTTGAATTTTAGATTCGAAGCATTTGTGTTTGTGTTCTTGCTGTGTGGTGTATTTTGACAAAAAATATATACGATGAAATTCATTGTAAGTATATCAAATGTCCGCAAGAATGATAAACCGTTTCCGGAGCATTTGAATTGTTGTAAGAAAATATTGTGTGTTCTTGATTCTTTGCGATGGCGAGTGATTCATCATAAAAATTGTTTGATATTTTTTTTCTTCTCCTTCATTCCAAAATATTGCGAATAGATGAGAAATCGAATTGAATTGATGCGGTGTGTTGAGAGAGTTGTGACACCTTTTTATGCATCAGCCGGTGTATCAATAAGGTGCTACTACTGTTGGCAAAGTGTTCATTTGCCCAACAAGAAGCGTATCAATTATTATTAGTATATCATTGTCATCCACCATAGAAAGACAGAAAATATATGAAAAAGTGTTAATAGGTTTTACGACCGCTGTTCATCTTGATACAAAACCTTAGTCGCATCTTTCGCTTTAACAATTGCGCTAAACAATGTGATATCATTTATAAAACTGCCTATGCAGAGTCAACTAAATCAAATTAAATGGCCACCTTTTTTCACATTCGACCTCGAATCGTGTGGCCGGCTGTATTCGCATGATAATGTGTTCGTCTATCGCTTGTGATTTTCTTCGTTTAAAGTGTCAGATATTTCAAGTGCACGCCGATTAAACGAGCGATAAGACAGCGAGAGAACAAAAGGCATACATATTTTGTTTTTTTTTTTAAATCCAAGTATAAAAAAAACTACATAGCTATTGCATTGTTTCCAGAGAGAGAAAGAGAGAGAGAGATCACATTGATATTATCTTAATGTTCTTAAAGCATAGACCTTAATATGGTCATGGGCAATCTTCATATCATCACATTTGGCATTTACGGCCAGATGAATATAAAAAAATTGTTTAATGAAATCGAATGTGAATTAAACGAACTATTTTCAATTACTCTCGTTTTATTTAAGAGTTCATTGCGGCTTAAATTGTAATCGGTTGTTATCGGCATAACAGAACGAAAGATGACAACGACGAAGACGAACGAAAGTATTTTAAATGGACCATCTGGTGATGATATGTCTAGTGACCTATTACAAAATCATAATTTGGCGCGCTGTTCTTCATCCATAATTTTATTCATCTTCATTTTACGCCAAATTGCCGATTCCGATGGTTTAGCTGAAACGAATGAACAAATGAGCGAGTGAGCACATGCACTATACACAGAGCATGCAGCTCTGCACTGTACTGCATGCTCGCCATATTGTTTCAATCATACCTCCGTCTGTGTCTTTCTCCCAATTAATATCATTGATTATCACTTGTTGAGTGAGTGCCTTATTTAGCGTTATGCAATAATTGGATTTTTATTTAAACGCCCATTTTTGTATCATTATCGATTGCATTGTGGCTATATATTGCTTGATACATTATCATCATTTCACTCTTTTGACCCAAATTCGTTTATTCTTCTTCTCCTGGTTCGTTCTCTTTTTTTGCGCTAAAACTTTCTATCAAACATGTGTTTTCCGATGGCTGAGCATCTCAGCATTTCGTAAGCTACGGATATATCCGAGCATATCGACGACGCATACTGTATAATACAGAGATGCTCAGCCATCGAAAAACACATGTTTGCTTTCTATTCACTTTTCAATTTATTTTGATTCTCTTTTTTCGACAGATACTTGCCATTTTTGCTGTCATTACGCTCGCTAATGCACAAATACGCCCAATTTTGCAATCAAGAGACCGAGATGCAATCATTTTGAAGCAAATCTATGAACCCAATCCAGACGGCTCATATGTATACAGGTTAGATAGTTTTATTAACGAATCGCTTTCGACGTTTGTTCGGTCATATTTGCTGGCGATTGGTGGCAACACAAAACGTACCAAATTAAATTCCCTTTAATTTACCATATAAATAGCTATGAAACGTCGAACGGTATAGCTGCTGATCAAACGGGCTATCTTAAAAATCGCGGAACTAATTTAGAAGCACAGGTAATCGATATCTTTTGTTTATGCACAAATAATACGTTGTTCGTTATGAAATATTAAATTGGATTACTATGATTTGGGTGAATTGAAGGTTGTTCAGGGATCATATAGCTACACTGGTCCAGACGGTATCTTATACACAATTAATTACATTGCAGGTGAGTAATATTTTCGAAATTTTGATTTTGAATTTTGCTTTCTAATGTTTGATTTTAATTTTCAAAAATTGCAATTTCTCCTAAATGTTCAAATTATTTTAATTGCAGACGAGAATGGGTACCGAGCATCGGTGAGTAACATGTTCAATTTTTCTTTCTTTTTCCTTTTTTTCTAAAAATTTTGTCGTGAATTTCATTACAATTTTTTTTCCTTTATTACGTTCCATTTTAATCTCCAATGTGTTGAACTATTTTAATTTTTCAACAACCTAATTCAAACTGTTTTCTCAAAAAAAAGGGAGCACATCTACCAACACCGCCGCCAGTGAATATCGGCAGACAAGTGCAACCAGTACCAGTGCAACCAGTACGATACTTTTAAACTCAAAACATTTGAAACGCCAACAAAACGGCCAATTTCATATACAAAATAATAATCAAACATATCTATTTACTTTTGGAACTCCTTTTTTTACTATAAAACTTTGTAAATTGAAAATTAAAATTGTTTCAAAAAAAAAATCGAATGAAAAGACGAATACAGGTGTAAACAACTGTGATTAATTCTAAAATGTGAAAGTTCTTGATTGAAATTCAGATTTTAGTTCGATTTTGAAGAAGAAACATTGTCTTTTATTGGTGTAAATAAAATCTTTTTATAATGATATTCGCAATATGCTGTTCTTTTTTTCCATAAAGCTTTTTTTACCTCATTTCATTTTTGAACACGGTTCATATTTGCAATCTCAAGCTAAATACGAACGGACATTTTCCTCAATGTATAGTTCAACCAGCTAAGACTGCGATCGGTGGATAGAAGTGTGGATAGCGGTATATTCTGCCGTAGGGATGCCCATATAAGCTATAGCCCGAGTAACCATATCCAGCACCAATGGGAAAAATTCCAAAATTTCCAATGCCTCCTCCATAGCCAAGTCCTCCAAAACCAAGACCAACTCCGACTCCACCAAATTCACCAAATGTTGGGCTCGGTGCTGAAGCGCTCAAATAGGCACTACACACCAAAAATATGACAACAAATAAACACGACTGATTCATTTCTTCTGTTAGGCTCGAGAGCTTTGAAATGCAAGCGAATATCTTTTCAATCGATTTACAATGAATTCTCGCGCCAAACGACCCATCTTTTATATACTTTGTGATTGTTTATGTCAAAATTTGAATTGATTAGTACGGGAAAAATTCAAAAAATTCAACTAGACCTTGGACGGAACTTGACTCACTTTCGAATTCTTCTTGGTGCGAAAGAAAAAAATTCCGCCTTTATTATTCAAAAATTCATGAATTACGGTGTGTTTTGAGCTATATTCAGAATATCCACTCATATTCACAGATATTCAGTCTTTATTATTTGACAGTTCAGGAGTTCTCATCAGCCGCCATCTTGAATTCGTCGCCATCTTGAAAATTTTATTGAAAATATTCACAAAATTCACAACATTCACATATAATCGAAATTTTGACGATGATTCAATGAGAAAAATATCCACAATATTCACAAATATTCATATTACTCAAGCCTTGAATGAAACCCCTAGCTGAGGATCGTATGCATTTCAGTACGTTAAAATCAGTTTAACGCTTCTATGAGATATTTTTGTCGTAAGTCATGTTATAAACATCACAATTAGCACATTCACACACCACATATCTATAAGTGAGACGTAAAAGAACGCAAGTTTGTCCAACTTCGTAGCAATAAAGAGAAGTATGTTTCATTACAACTAATAATGGTTAAAAGAATGTATGTTCGTTTTTGGCGGGTCCTCGCGGGTTTCCTAGGTTTCCGCAGAACTGATAAGAGATAACAACTTAGTGTCTTCGGCAAAGTTGTATTACTCGAGGTCTTCTATAACATTGCTGAAGACAGTTACCTCTTATCTCTCATCAGTTCCGCGAAAAGCGCGAAAAATGATGAGAAAAAAAAGTTCTATATGAAATTTGCTTTTTCGTGTGCGCGATTTGTGCGCAAATCATAAGAGATAAGAGTTACCTGTCTTCAGCAATGTTATAGAGGACCTCGAGAACTACAATTTTGCCGAAGATAACATGCTGTTATCTCTTATCAGTTGCGCGAAAACCGTGAAAACCACGGAGGCTAGACGGTACTACAACATACTTTCTTTTAACGCAGATAGAATCAATAGAAAACATACTTTTCTTTTCAAAAATATAAATCGAGAAAAAAACATACATTCTTTACGTCTCACGAATAGATATTTGATCCTATTTAATTTCAACCGCGGGTGAAAAAAGTTGTCTTTTTTGTTTTCGTTTTCCTTGTGACCATTCATATGCGACGTCAACGATGTCAATATAGAAATTCACGAAAAAAACGTGGGTAGCCAGGTGTCAAGACCAAAACTATGCAGGATCGATTGTATTTGCGTTTTACGTTCGTCGACCGATGAGTAATCAAAAGTCGTCACAAATTAATTAACGTCATCCGACTCAATTTGAGAGACTGCTTCGAACAGTTTGAGCTGCTAATCAAATCATTGAAAATAGTGCATGACAATGGGCAACCATTCATGCGCACGGTGATCAAAAACTGCGCGCCAAACAGCACAAAACTGTAAAAATAATAGGGAAAATTACACAAATTAGGAGCCGAATAATTTATTCGCCAAACGAAATATGGATTACGAATGGAAATCAAATTGAAATGTGTGGGTAAATGTACATGGAAATAACCACCTCACAAATTGGTACACAATCACTGCATTCATTGAATTGCGCGAGCCCCGATTTTGTAGAGTACACAGAGCTACAAAAATACAATCAAATCGATTAGAAAATTATTCATAATTCATTTGAAATACGAAAATTCTTATTAAACTGTCGATTGAACGCAGAAAAAAGCAATTATATCGAATGGAAAAAGACAAATGAATTAATTGTTTACGCGGCAAAATCGTCCCGAAATTCTATGCTATGTAACTCTCACCTCTTTGCTTTCCAATACACAATGACATATCAACCGGCTAACAAAATATGCCAAGCAAATGTCAAAATGTCATGTCGATGTGATTGGCGAATTCGAATACACACAAAGAGTTGTAGCTCGGACTCCAGATTTTTCTGAATTAGCTAAACTCAGCACCAAATAAGATGCAACTCGTCGTTTCAGTGGATTGTGTGTGGCGAATATTCGGTTTGGAAATCCGTTGCCGTTTGTAAACAAATAAGAAGCTGTCAACTTTGAAGCGGCCAATTCAAATGTAAATATTCACCGCACACAATTCAGATTAATACACATGTAATGAAAAAAAAAAATGTTTCTTCAAACTTGTAAAAATTTAATTCGAAAACCAAAACTGCATTTATAAGAATATTCGACTGAATTAGCTTAAATAATCTTCGGGAAGTCTAATTCGATGAATTGATCATACTTCTTTGTTTGGCCAGATATCACTTCAAGCTGCACATCGTACTGCTGATCAAAGCCTAAGTAGCTGTCGGATATTATGTAAACGGTATACAAATAACGACCTGTAGTGATGATAAAGAACGAATATCGAAATTGAATTAGCTTTTTCTTTAACAAAAATTGCAATGGGCATGCATTTCGATTTGAATAATTGTTTACCAATTTTATTTGGTGCGTTGAATGTGACCGAGTGAATGCTATTTGTATTTCGGTACGAGCATCGTTTCAGAGCAATTAGTTCAGCTTGGCTGGGATCACCCAATATCAAAAACCATCCTTCATCTTTGATTTTCGAGAATTTCGGACAATGCACTTTTGGAATGAGTGAATCGGTCTTCTTTCGGTCTTTGCTCAACCGATGCACGTATCGATGGAAATTCGCCCGAATGGTGTACTCCTGAAATTGATATTGATATTATTATTATTATCCAAAAATGTGTGTTTCCAAAAAATAATCAACTCATTGTACAAACCGCATTAGAATGCATTTGAATCCAATCATCTTTTTTCATTGGCACAGTAATTTGTTGTACGGCATCGCTTTCATCGTTCCGTTGACCGATTGCACATAAATCAACATCTAGCGTTGGCATATCACATAAAACCTGATAAATTCGCTCAATCTGTGCCTCTTCAAAGTCTTCACGCAGTGGGCCGGCTAATTTTTCGTACTTTTGCAACACATTTTCTTTTAGTGTGGGCAAAGTGAGAATTGATTCCCTGTGGAAAGAGTAGAAATGATAAGAAAAAAATGAAATTGAAACAGAATTGAAAACATATTGTAGAATTCACAATTTCATTCAGTGAAACTCCAAAGGATGGTTTAAATTTGTTAAACTCTATTGATAAAAAAAGGTCTTCAAAGAATAAACTTACTTGATGGGAATTCGTTTGAAACATGGAATATTGAGCTCTTCAACGTATGGCAGTGACAAAACTGGTGAATCATCATACCATCGCCCTTGAATCACACATTGCATTAGTTGTTGAATGCGAATCACTGTGATTAGCCACCCTCTTTCCGCGCAAATATCGATCATTGCCTGAAATGAGCCAGAAATCAATTATGTTTTTATAAATAGAATGCTTGCTACAATTCACATATCACTTTGATAACAAAAGATTCGTGATAACTTCATTCACCTGTAATATACGTAACGATTGGTCGAGAACGGATTTTGTATCCGTCAAATAATCAGAATTTGGCAGTGGAAGATGTGATAAATGTGCTTGAATCAACAGGAATGTTTTTGTGTGTGGTGAGTCACATGTTAGCGGATCAACACTGAGCCGGCAACTTTTCGAAAGTTCACTGAAAACAAAAATACAAAAATATCGGTTAGATTCAAATGATTTGGAACCCATAAAATCTGGTCGATTCACTTACATATTGTATTTGTCTTCATTATGTCGGCATGGTTGTGAATAGAATTCGTAGGCGTTGCTCATCGCCGACAGTACATTCTCGAATGTCATGTCGGCATGTAAAACATCGGCAAAATGTCGCATACTCTGATGCGACAGATAATAATAGGATGAAATTCGTCCCATCGATGTTGGATAGACATGCCTTGAGTCCTCTGGGTCGATTTCAATGCAACCAGCATCGGTGAGCGTTTGTAGTACCGATTCGATTAATTGTGACAAAAATCGATTCACATCCTGTGGCTCAATACTTGCCAAGTCATAGTAAGTTGGATTACGCATTAAACGTCTAAAGCAATACGTCCACGTGAAATAATCGAGAATACTTTGTTTCGTTTGTACGGTGCCCGCTACAATTTCAGCATTCACGTGATCCGGTAAAACGTTGAGCAGGTGCGATTCAACGGGGAATGGATCGTACAGGAATTTCTTATAGAAATTCTTTTTGACATCGTGAACTAGCACAACGGCAATACCTTCGTTACCGAATTGTGGCCGTCCCGCACGACCCATCATCTGTAGCACATCCGTGATTGGCATATCGACATATCGCTTCAATTTCGGATCATAATACTCAGTTCCTTTGACAATGACCAAATGCGCGGGTAAATTGATACCCCATGCTAATGTTGCTGTTGCGACTAAAATTTGTATTTTCCTATGCAGAAATAGTTCTTCAACGGTTTTCCGATCGTGTTCATGCAAACCAGCGTGATGCAATCCAATGCCAAAGGCAAGGGTTAGTTTGAGATTGGCGTCTTTGATCCCATCCAAAATTTGATCCATCTCATGCTCAAGCAAATGCATAAATTGTTTCGGGTTATCTTCACCGGCCAAAAATGCAATCAAATCGAGTGCAGTTAATCGAGTTTGTCGACGCGATGAGACGAAAATCAATGCCGGTGTACATGGTGAATATTGACGAATGGCTTGATATGCAGGACGATTCATGGTCGCCATTCGTGGGCAATAGTGCTTGCCTGGGAATCCAGAAATGTGCACAGAGAGTGGCACAGGGCGAACGGATGGCTTGAAATTGTATAAACCCATGTCTTTAATTCCAAGCCAGTTGGCTAAATCACGTGCATTTGCGAGAGCGGTTGACAGACCGACGATGCGAAGCGTTCGTTTTGTGTGAGATGCAATGAAATTTGTACGCGAAACGATGACCTGAAATTAGAAAAGAGTTGAAATTGAAATATCATCGTAAATCACATTCGGAAGTTAATTCTCTGAATTTTCGATAGTCACCTCAAGAACCGGACCACGATCTTCGCCCAGCAAATGGATTTCATCGATAACAATGAGTGCAACATCTTTGACATATTCACGTGTTTGCCACGAACGACTGATACCATCCCATTTCTCTGGTGTTGTGACAATCACATGACTATCACGTATTGCTCTGGCATCCGGTGTAACATCTCCAGTTAGTTCGACAACTTTTCGTCCGAGTCGTTGCTCCAATCGATGCTTCCAATCGTCGATACGTTCACGTACCAGTGCTTTCAACGGCGCAATATAAACCACTTTTCCATTTGGATACGTATTGAATACTCTAAATATTGCAATTTCGGCGGCGATTGTTTTTCCTGACCCCGTTGGAGCACCCAACAGTACATTTGTATCGGTGTGATAGAGGCAGTGGAAGATTTGCGTTTGAATTGGATTGAAATGTGTGAATGTGTACAGCGATTCGTACCGTTTGTTATTCAGAACGGTGATTGGCAAAGGTTGAAGCGGCAACAGTTCTGTGTGAGGTGGATGCAATTCCGGCAAAATCAAGTGTTGGAAACTTAATGGGAAGTACGTTTCACTTCCAAGCCATCGATCGCTAATCGCTCTGATATAGTACTGCGGTGGTAATGGTTCACGCAGTGGAATTGTCACCACTAATTCTTGTGGCTCTTCGGAAAATGCTTGTTTTCGTGTCAATTGGAAATATTCCGAGTGATAAATGTAATTACTTTCCGGGTCTTCGATCCAAATCCAAAATGGTTCGGCAAATTTACCATGAACACCATCGTTCCACCTAAAGTTGGCTCGAATGAAAATTCGGATTCGCAACACGGTTCTTGTTATAGGATGCAGTGTGGCGTCCATTTCGATAAGTGGAAATTCGTTGGCACATTTTGCAATAAAGGCTCCATTGCGTTGATTACGAAGAAAATCACCGATTTCCCTGGCATCCGAAGAAATAGAATTGTTCTATAAAATTCAAAACAAAAATATGAAAATGTTACTCACCTAGCATCCATATCGCGTAGCGCCATCACACTGACGCCACTGTTTTCAATTTTATCAATCATATCAAAGCCGATTCGGGTGAATTGTCGTAGCGGCGTTTGATAGTCCCACATCTGACGTTCGAACATTTTGCTCAGCATCAACAGTCGACCGGCCAAGATGGCATTGTTCTGATGTAGTTGAATGGTGAAAAGTGCTCGAACAATGCGCACGGCATTTTGTGTAATGTACGATAAATCCGATATCAGTGAAAATGCTCGAACTTGACCACGTGACAAATATGTTTGCATCAAAATATTAACTTTTCCGTGTATATTTGCTGCGCCACCCTTCGCCACCACTTCGCAATAATCATGGGTCAAATCTTCTAATTCATCCAATTCCTCGTCTCGAACTTTTAACTGCTGGAACTCCTGGGCCAATGACATCATGTGGAAAATTTCCGGTTCGGACATAACTGGCTGCATATTTTCATTGAAAACTTCGACGGTTGCATATTTGATGTAAAAATGTGATGCTGTTCGCCCTAAATCGGTTGGATGCAAATCACCCGTTCGCACATTGTACCGAATCATCTGTGCCTTGTCTAAATTTTGCGCTGCGCATATTATCAATGCTCGTCTTTTCTGTTCTAACGTTGGATCTTCCATGACATCTTCATAAGTCATGCCATACACTTGCGGGTTCAATCGCATTCTCACAAATAGGTAAGTGTAACTAAGCCATTCGATGGCTTCTTCAATGTTACAAATGGTGCCCAACGTGATTTCAGCATTTAAATTATCGGCCAAACAATCGATGAAGTTCGATTCAATGGGAAATTGATTTGTGAGGAGCGAGAGGTAATGAGTTAATTTGTTGTGTGCGGTAATGATGATACCAAGACCGGATTTTTCGAATTGTGGCCGACCAGCTCGGCCAAAAATTTGAAGCACATCCAGTATGCCGAGATCGACAAATGAACCGTGTTTTGCGTCGTAAATTTCCGTTCCTTTAATAATAACCGCATGGGCTGGTAGATTCACACCCCAAGCGAGTGTTGCCGTACATACAAGCACTTTGATCAGTCCTTCGCCGAAATATCGCTCGACCATCGAACGATCGCTACGCAACATTCCTGCATGATGCATTGCAATACCATATTGGAATAATTCGTTTAGTTGCTTATTTCGACTGTTGGCCATCGAACGCTTGGCCAACCCCAATTCCTTCGATTCATCCGGTGCAAATAGAGTTAAATGTTGCTTTTGTGTAGCCATCTCACGAAGAACGTTTGACGTTCGTACGGTTGCATTTCGAGCATGCACAAATACCATTACTTGATAGCCTAGTTTCAATTGCTCCACACATTTGTCATAGCAAACAGTGTCCATTTCGGCCAATTGCTGCATCGGTTTTACACTCTTGACACCAACAAATGTCTGTTCGAGCGGGACCGGTCTGAAGCGGCCATCGAAATAAAATAGTCCAACCATTGGATTGACGCGCAGAAACCGAGCGACATCAATGTAATTTGGCAGTGTGGCTGATAAGCCGACTATTCGAATCATATTCTGGGTGGATTCAACGAGACGCAATGTACGAGCAACCAATGCTTCCACGACTGGGCCTCGTTCACCATGCAACAAATGCACTTCGTCGATAATCAACAGCTTTACGAGACTGATCAATGCCACGTCACCGGCACCTTTCCGTGTTATCACATCCCATTTCTCAGGCGTTGTGATTAACATTTGCGTTTGTTGTATCTCCTGTTTCGTAAGTTGCATATCTCCCGTTAACTCTCGAACACTGATTCCTTGATGGGTTGTCAATTTAAAATTATTAGTGCAAAATTTAAAGAAAAATGAAAATTTTTCTATGCTTACCCAATGAGCCGAGCCTCTTTCCAAAATTTTCCACCATTTCAGCTGCCAGTGCTTTCATCGGGGCCACGTACACAATTTTAAATTGATCCCGATGTATTACTCCTTGATCGGTATGCGATCGAATGGTGTTGATGATCGAAAGCATAGCGACATTTGTCTTACCCGCTCCGGTCGGTGCACAAATGAGCAAGTTATCATTTGAATGATAGGCCCGTTCGAACACAACGCTTTGTATCCGATTCAGTTCTTTAACTCCCTTGAACGCCATTTTGCCAATTTCATCCAAATCGGTGATTTGAATGCGTTGTTCGCCTACTTTTAAGTCAATCGGTGCTGTATTCGCGGGTAAATTAATTTCTTCATAGGTTTTATTATCAGTACGCTGTGTAGATTCAGGCAAAACCAGCTTGGATCCAGCCACAAATCCAACATGAGTCCGTGCTTCCATTTGACCATCAAACACATATGGATAAGTGACCTTTTTGGGTGCTTGCGTCAGCCAGTTCATTGCTTCCGATGGTTTTCTTGGTTTTGCTAAAATCGGCTGATTCTTTATTGTATTTAAAATTTGTTGTTGCTGTTGCAATTTCAAACGAGCCACACCATAATCACAGCTACCATCGTCGTCGTCATCAAGCTCATTTTCCATGGCCGTTTTCTGTGCCGTGAATATTTTTTCCAATTTTTTCTCATCTTTGCGTACCTTTTTCATGAGGCTTAGCTCTTGTTCCGATTGAACCACAACTTGAGATGATACAGCCGGTTGCGCGGACTTTGTCCTATTTACCACGCCACATTGTTCGGCCGTCGCTGCACGTTCGTACATCATATTGACTTTGTCGTCATTTTCAATATTTTTTATGATCCCCTTTCGATTCTCCAAAATGGTCTCGAGAATTTCGAATTTATCAAAACCCAACAGTTCGATAAGTTCATTTTGCAGTTCGGCATTGGATTTTTTCGATTTTAAAACAGAGAGCAGCGACTCAACCACCTCGTTGTTAACATGGGCTAGCAGCCATGTACGATTGTACGTAAGTTTCGGCTGAGCAACTGATTTAGTGCTATCGTATCGCATCGAAAATGATGTCGACAATCCACTCTCGTCTTTTTCACTCATCGGCTCTGGCAAATCGAAACTTTGTAACAATTCCATGCTTTCGTTATCTACATCTATACCTTTTGGCATGTAAATTTTTATGTTGTTTCCCCAACGTTTCGTTTCCTTTTTGATAACTGCTCCTTGTTCGTCATTTTTTTCTTTGATCTCATCACGAATGACATGCAATAAATCTTCGCTCAACGCGGCTTTCAAATCACATACGACGGAACATATTTTATTTGCATGCTGAGAACTGATTTTTCCAAAAATCACCTTCAATTCGCTTAAATGCCGAACCATCACAATACTCACGTCAATGAAGAATCGAAACAGAAATATCGCCGCATCATTGATAACAGCGCCGCTTTCATCGTCTCCTAGATGGTCCGGATGTAAACAAAATCAATGAAAGAATAATTTCAAATCAGTGAACAAATAAAGTGTTTGATAATGAATTCCCTTATCAATTTAATTGAGAAAATAATTACCGATGAGATTTCGTGTCAAATTCCATAGATTCTGTAGAAGCTTGGTGACGTTATTCAATTGATTTGTATCGTTGGCAAATTTCTGCTGCACCATCGTTTTGAATTTGTTCCAAGAGATCGTTCTGAAAGCGAAAATCCATTATGAAAGACATGCACGCAAACTAATAAAATTAAAGAATCTTTCATTCGATCTCATACTTGGCTCGTTCATTTTCCTCATGCCACAGGTTGACCACCACTTGATCGGCTTGATAATTTATGTTCCGTTGAATGTCTAGCCTAAGGCTAGCTCGTAACGAACGAGAAAATCGTGGCAATTGATCCATTTTTTTCTATTCTATCTCTCTCTATGAACAATACACAACTCGTTTTATTCGCATGAAACCAAAGAAATTTCTAACCAAAACTACAGATAAATAAGTCAATTCGTTTGCCGACGTGTTTTTTTAAACAATTTACCCATGTATCACAGAAAAATATTTCACAAAAATATTGCTGCAAATTCGGCATTAACAATGTGTTGTTTTTCTCGTTCAGTCGCTATGAATGTGGATGTTGACAATTCGATGCGACAATACAGCAGCAGCAGCAACAGCAGTAGTGTAGTGTGCCGCTGTCAAACTGTGATAAGTTAGCGTGAAATGTCAAAAGCAGAATAGACGCGTATCCAGTTTTTGTGTATTTCACAATACTTACGTTATTCGAAGCAAGAATATGTATGTATGAAAGGTGAATCAACAACACTTGTTGCATGCGATTTTGATTGGCTCTTATGGCGAAATTCAAGAAAATAATTTAATGCGCAATTTGTTGGTCTTGTTTTTATGATCATTTTTTATTGAACTCTTGAAAATGAATGAATACAAAATTGCCTTAAGAACGAGTAAACATCCGAAACTTTGTAATTATTCAACGTGAAAATTTTGGGCAAATTTTAATATAAAAAATAATAATAATATTTGGAAGTTACAAAATAACATATTTTCTTTCCTATTTCAAATAAGATTTCTCATGATTTTTTTTCTCTAATTTCTAAGTTTTCTTTTTGAGATATTTTTTGTGTTATTCTATATTTTTATTGGTCTTGTTGTTGGATTAAAATTGACGGCAGCTGTAAATACATGTAAAACGCATAGTTGATCTCATATTATATGAAAGAAAATGTGTGAAAATCATAAATTCCTTTTTTTTTCGTTGAGTTGACAAACAATCTCACATTTGGAATATGGATTAATAGGTGGAGAATAAAAATACATAAACAAAAACTGCGACAAATATAGCTAGAATGATGACCAATGGCCAACGAAATTTTTTCTCTACCGCAGACCAAGCGGATGGCTTTTGTAATTGTTGCTGTTGTTTGAGTGAACCGATTGATTTGTCCCGGAAACGGTCACCAACTCGATTACTGCCATAGACTGATGAGCGATATTCATTCAAGTAAGCTAATGTTGTGGACTTGGGTGTTTTGTAATCGTATGTTGTTGTTGATTGTTCTGTGCCTGGCAACTGTTCGGCTTTTAGTTGAGCGAGTCGTCGTGTAAAATCGCTCAAGAATGGCGTTTCAACCTTTTTGAGAATGTCCTCATTCGATTCTTCCAATCCGTGTGTATCATGCAATGGTGATGCGTATGTTGTGTAGCGACGTTTCAAACCGGTTGTATCTTCGACTGGCTTTTCGCTTGACTTGAAACTGGCAAAATTCGTCGAAATTGATGGGCCAACCTGTAACGTTTTACGACGATTATCAGCCGATGCAAAGATTTTGGTGGTTGGTGTGCTTGGTTTGCGAATTTTCTCAAGCAAATCGGAACTGTATTCAGCGTCACTGTTGTCATTCAACAATATAACATCATCATTTTGTTCGATCAACGGTGGAATTGTGTGTTTGTATGACGTGGTGACAACCGAACTTTTCGTCAACGATGGTGATGGTGATGTGCGAGTCGTTTTTCGCCGAGTTTGTTTCTCAGCTTCTTCAGCCGCAGCGACTAAATCGTCGTCAGACGCATCAGCAAAGTATGAAATCGGCTCGGGTGGTGGTACTGATTTTCGGCCCGGTGACTTTGACCGAACTATAAATGGGAAAAAGAAAGATGATGTATTAGTAAAATGGATATAAAAACGTTTATTCGATCGTTGATAATGTCTTGTCCTGTTTGTTTATCGATTTCATTGTTGACTGATAATATTTGGTTCAAATACCTACCGGGGGCTACTTTAGCGGGAACTTTGTCGATTACAACGCCATTGACTGGCTTTGAAGCGGTTGCTGCAATGGTTGCTCGACGGTTGCTAACCGCCTTCGGTTTGTTGATTTTCTTCAATTCAGCATCCGATTCGGCGGATTCTTCGGCCGATGAATGTTTTACAACGTTAACTGTTTCACGTCGACCTTTGGCTGGTTTTGTCGGCACATTCAGTGCGTTCCGTAGTTTTTTAATCAATGCATTTCGTGTTGTATCCGTCACTGGGAAATTTCCAATATTATGCGATTTCAATTGTTCACGCAATTCATTGTTGCTCAATGCTTCGAAATTATCCATTATAGTCGCGTTGCTTTCTGTTGATCTGTTACATACAGAAATGAAAAAAAAAATTACCACACAAAGTGACTCCGTTTGTCTTTCCGTACCATGTGTTGAATGGGAAAAAACTATCCAAAATCTATCAAAGCATCAACACTTACCCAAATATAAAAACAATTTCAAGTAAAATCAAACACTTTCACTAAAAATTCAACGATAAAAACAGTTAAAACTCAACGCTTCTTCTAGTCAAATGTTCAGATGTCTACATTTAAACAAGAACCAGAGTGGAAAAAAATTTGAATTTGATTTTTTCTTGCCAGTTACAACGACCAAATGACATCGAATGACAAACGAATGCTGTGTTCTGCCGCTTTTGAGTGGAAAAATGGTGTAGAACGTAACGCTAAAGCGAATTCCATTTGCGCGCTCATTAACGCACCGCAACGTCATTTGCTCATGGACATTTCGTTTTTTTTTCTGTTTGGTGTTTCGCCACACCGACAGATGGCTCTAATTCAACATGTATCTATTTCGAATTTATGATAAATCATTATGACTAATTTACGCTGTGTGAGAACATTTTCCTGATATAGAAATACATCGTTTGGGTTAGTTGCCAATTGGGTTTATTTTCATGGTTTAAATTACATTAAATGTTTCCTTAAATGTCATTTCCATGAATATTCGGTTGCCTTTTTTCATCTTCATTGAAATCAAAACGAAAATTTATGAAAAGAAATGCACAATTCAAATTTCAAGTTCTATTTTTTAAAAAATGTCATTCGAAAAAAACACTCAATAAAAAAATTGTATGGGATTTCAAAAATGAACATCATTTCTGGGTGATTGTTTGAATGGTCTAGACGTGATACACATTTCCAAGCCTATGACATTATCAATATCCCACAATGAAATAATACGAGTTTTTTTTCACTAATAACTTTAGTTGTTGTTTTTTTGATTCATTTTCTCCTCGTTCGTTATTTAAAAAAAAAATGTTTTCATGTTTAATTTTTATTATTTCGATATCACAATCATTTAATAGATTCACTATTTAGTGCTAGTTAGATATCATGCTTTTTTTAATTTTGTTTTTGTCTGTTTTTTTCTACTAAAATTATCCTCTTAAATTTAGGATCATTGCATTGGAAATTGTTATCTGTCCAAAAACTTAGAACAAAATGAAAGGGGGCCTCTAGACCCAGAGAAAACATTTTGTGTGTGTGCGTGTGTGTGTGTGTGTAATATCGTGAATAAACTCATTTTTGTTTATGTGTTTTTTGTTGTTGTTGTTGTTGTTTTAGTTGTTTTAGTTGTCTACATTCAAATGTATCGTTAAGAGTAAGATGTCATCGCATGCGAATTTGTTTGAACAAATGTAGAAATGAACTTGAATCGATTAAATTTCATCTGGAACTAAACGTAAGAGTTCTTCGTCAGTTAATTGTGCCAATTTGCTGGGTTGTGATGAGACAGCAACGGGTTGGGATGGTGTTGGTGCATAGCTAATCGATGTGGTGGCCGGTGCAACCGGTACATATTCAGTATCGCTAGTATCCATCAAATTGGCACCGTATTGATTCATTGATAGTTGCGACGGAGCTGCCGATCCAAATGATGCGACATTTTTCAAGATATCAGCTAAATTGGCTGGTATCGAAATGTTTGACACAACGTCTGATATATTTGTTCCGCCAATTGGCGGCGACACTGAACTGGTCGGTGAGTATGGCTCATCAATGTCCACTGTTTGCAAATGCATGGCAATCTCCTTCTTCTCGGCCTCAATCTGTCGATTCAGCTCCTCCAGCTGCTGTTTATCGAAACTTGACAGCGCCGGTCCTCCACTCATCGGTTTTGTGTAATCCGGAACTGGATTTGCGCTCGTGCTCGACAAATACGATGTTGGGATCGTGTTGAGCGTCAAATCATCCTCATCGCTTCCGCCGGGCGAATATGGTTCATCGTCGTCATCTAGATCGAAATGAAATTAGGATTGATATTTATAGATTCAATGAATGCTTTATTTTTCTTTCTCAAAATTGTCAAACATGTATCATTCTTACTTGATGAAAATGTTGCCTTGATCACTTGCTTACTGATGACTTGGATATTCATATTTGGACTGGATGGCGGTGTGTAATGGGCATCCTTTGCCGGAATCGTCACCTAAGTAGAAGAAAAGCCATTATAATAAATCGAAAATTATTACCAACACAATAAATCAATTGTAAAATGTATCATACCGCTGATTTGTGTCCAATGAATGGTATCGATGGTTGACGATGCTTTGGAGGATTTGGAAGATGGCTCGTTTGTGGTATTCGGTTGCGTACGACAATGCCAAGCAACAAATCCGGACGGTCAGCGCCTAAATCGAAGCCAGTCGTTGATTTCAAAATCGATGGCAACGATTTGTGCGAAGTCAATGGCATGATATAGAAGTCTTTAACCATCTTCGATGGAATTTTGATAACACCAAGTCGTTTACGTGTATCCAAATAATTTATGAATGTTGAGTAAGCCGTTTCATCATCATCAGAAGAGGAACGTGGCGAGAATTTCAGCAACACTATATCTTTACTGATGCGAATCTTGTCTAGGTACTCCCAAACGGTATCTGGATTGATACGACCAACGACATCGAATTCTTTCGGGAATTCAATCATAGCTGTGTTACCAGAGAGTGGGCTTAACGACACTTGGAATGTTGCGACATCGACCATACTTATTGCCCCTGACCAAACGATCGGCGCAAGTGGTCGTTCGACTAGTTGTAGTGGTGGTGGTGGTGGTGGTGGTGGTGGTGGTGGTGGTGTTGTTGTTGATCGTATTTCGGACGTCACTTCTGGCGGTGAAGGAATTGTGACTGTACTCGTTGGCTCTTGGTCACTTTCATTTGCGGCCGATGGTTGGCGTGTCAACGTTGTTGTCGATGCACTACTGCTGCTGCTACCTTCAGTCGTGGTCGATGCCGCGCTCACACTCGCAACAACTGTTGATTCACTTGACTTCTTAAATTCTTCCGGATGCAATATACTATCGATGGTCGATTGTGCTTTCAGAATCTTGTCAATTATACTATTTTCATCGGTTTTTGCAATTTTTGGTGGATTCGAGTGTGCTTTACTAGTCGATTCTCTCTTTCGATCTTTTTCGCTGTGATGTTTACTGCGATTGCTGCTACTTGAACTGCTGCTTCCACTGGACTTATGATCTTTTTTATCCTTTCGACTGTCCGAACCGCTGCTACGATTCTTTCTATCTTTGTCGTAGTTTTTGTCTTTGTGACTATGACTGTGACTGCCATGGCTACTGTGCCGTTCTCGACTACGCTTTCGCTTATGTTTTGATGATGAACCGCTTGATGAACGACTTTCGTGACGGTCTTTCTTTTCGTGGCTGCGCTCACTATCTTTTTTACTTGAGCTGCTCAACAATGACTTGCTGCCATCGGAGCTTAAGTACTTATCAACTCGACTGTCTTTTGTGGTGATCGATGTGTCACTACTGCTAACCGTCGTGTTGTTCAATACCGAGACCAAATCTTCCACCGGTATCGATGGGTCCAATGTGATTCGTTCGCTACTCTCCTGAATTACCTCCTCGCCCTTGTGCGTTTTCAACACGTAACTATTACCACATGCAAGCATATCCAATTCGGATTTCGTGATCATTTCCAATTGATGTTTATTTTCATTTTCACGCCACTTGGCCAGCTCCTGGCTGGCTAGCTCTTCCGTTGACATTCGTACGAACTGCTTTGGCTCAATCGATTTGCTGGAAATCTTTTCAAACAATGTCAAATTCTTACGATCTTTTACATTGTACATTAACGAACGATATTTCGATTTGTACTTCATATTTGTATCGCCACCGAACATTTCGAACATTTCCAATTCGGCCGCATTCACAAATTCTGTAATTTCAGCTTCAGTCAACCGTGGTGCATTCGGATCGGTGATTTCTTTTGTACGTGTAATCAGCTGTTCAATCAGTGTCTTTCTTGCATTCACACGCAATTGGTCACGATCATTGGATTTGCTACTTAACGATTCGGATTTGCTTGAACTTGCTGTTTTGACTTCCGGCTGAAATAAAAATAATTGCAGATTTTATTGTTTGATGTATGTATACACACGTATTTAATGTTCTCGAAGTAACTTACTGTTGTTGATGTTCGTTTTTTCGTTTGCGATGAGCTCTTCTGCACTGGCGTTGAACTCAACTTGGGTGCTTTTGATATGGGCTCCGATTTGTGGGCATGCGGGGACTTTGAATTAACTGGTGATGACGTGGCTGAAAGCGGTCGCTTTAATGCTGTCGTTGTCACTGGTTTTTGTGTCATTGGATTCACGTACACCATTTTATCGGCTTCGAAACGTAATTTGGTTTGAACTTTTAGTGGCTGTGATACTGCAAACAGTTCTTTTTCGCCCATATCTTTGGCAAGCGTTTTAAATTGCTGTTGTTTTGCTTTGAATGCCATCGCTTGTGGACTGCCCGGTTTCAATACCTCAAAATTTGGATGTTCGGCCAACCATTGTTGTAATTTGTCGGGTGTCGGTGTACTTTTACCCACCATAATTTTACCAGTCGTCTTTTCCATGACTACCACATGATTTGTCTTGTCCCTAAACATTTGTTGGATGACTTTTTGTGGTGGGCCCTTTTTCTCGCTTTCGGTCGGCGATTTTAGCCTAAACGGTGTTGATGGTGCCGATGAACATGCTTCTGATTCACTTGCGCTCGATGCAGAAACCGTTTTTGTCGCATGCTTTCGAATACAATCATCGCTACAGTACACCGAATTCACTCGTGACGGTTTAACGCCACAAACGATACAATTCGGTACCGGTGAATCGATCGTTGATTGAGCCACGGTCGATGAAGTGCCAGCTCCTTTCGTTTTTGGTGAATTTTCCACAACAACTTTTCGTGGGAAAATACTCTAAATTCAAAACAGAAAATAGATTCGGTTAGCTCATATGTGTATGTCGTTCAAGTGACTCAGTTGAAAGTTCGCAATATCCATTTAAACACTAACCTTTATCGATGGCTGTTGTTTTTTCTGACAATTCGGACAAATCCATTCCGATTTCCGATGTTCCATCTCACGGCCCATTTGCCTCGTGATACCAACGCATTTGCCATGGAACCATTCTTCACATTTATCACAGCAAATCATGAAGCGATTATTATGTGGCGTTCGGCATATACACCAGAGGCTGAAATGGAAGAACAATAATCGAATGAATAATGTGCGTTTTTTGGTTCAAATTGGGGCATGTTTTGTGTGTATGTTTAAAAAAAAACAATATTGTTGTTGATTTTTCAAATGCAGATAAAACATTGTATTGCATGTGGTGGGTTGAATGTGAATGTGGTGGTATTTTGAAAGAAGCGTTGTCATCATCAACTCATCTTCATTTTATTTATTGGTTAACAATGGTTGCACGTATAATTCACAAGTAGCCCATGTATAACACACATTGAAATATTGCAAAGCAAGTAGCAAACATCATGTTTTTTAAGCTATTTAGCATTTGTTTCATCACATTTGAGAGGTCCTTCAAAACGTAGATAAAAATACTGTTTTTTTTTTTTCAAACTGAAAGCAAAATATTTACACAGAGCCATTTTGGCTAAAGAAAAAGAAAGAAATAAAAGTAAGAAGAAAGATAAAATATATGGTATATGTGATGTACTCCCTACCGATGCGGGTCATCTTCGGAATTGTAGCTGCCATCGGAACCATCTTCCTCGTCATCTTCGTCACCAAGTCCACCATCAGCAGCGGTGGCGCCACCACCGGGGGCGTTATTATGTGGTGGATTCGATATGCTCATGCTACGTCTTGGCTTTGAATCAGTTGAGGCGCGTTTTACCGCAACCGAAGCCCTTCGTTCACGTGCTGCAATTGGTTTTGCTGCTTGCTTTGCAGTGCTCGGTGAATTTTTAACCAGTTCGGTTGTTGTTTGTGTGTTTGGCACACTCTTCTGTTGATGTTCCAACAATGAATCAGTCTGTTCAGCAGCTCTTACAACCTCTGATTTTTTAGGTGTCTCTTGGCCTGGTATTATTTCAGCTCGTCGTTTTGCACCACGTGTCGTCGGCGCTTCAGGTGGTGGCAACGTGACCAATGAACCATCTGCACGCCTAACTGTGATTCCTTTTCTATTGGCGATTGTAGGTAATGTGAGTGGCGTTGCAGGCGTTTTCACCGCATTCGTCGCTACTATTTGTTCTTCGGGCAGCTTTGTCGGCGTAGAAGCGGGCGAATGAATGATATTTTGCTTTGGCACAACTGAAGTCGTTTGTATTGGTGGCTGTGGCGTTGCAGTACAAGATGAAATGGAATCGGCATCTTGCATTTGTTGATCGATCACTTCTTGGAGATTCTTATCTTCAACCAGTTTAGCCACGTGCTGCATCAAATCATCGGTTAAATATTCGGAATCAACAAATGAATCTAGCAATTCGTCGGGTAACATTTGTGTGTCGTGCGTCGATTGTGTGGTCGAATAAGTGATTGACATCGTGTTTGATGTGCTGCTCGGCTGTGTCAAGTCAGCGGATTCAATAGATTGCGATGCTTCGGATGTTTCCAGCATTTTCACAATATTCGGAATGGCTGCGGAAACGGCCGTTTGCGAAGATGCACTTGATGAGGAGGAGCACGTTGCATCCGGTTCGGATTTGCTCAGCTCTTCTTGCACCAGCGAATCGATCAAATCCAATTGTTTATCTTGTTCGAAGGCCAAATTGGTGACAGTCGGCGGCTTTACTAATCTACGGAGTGTAGCAGTTGGCATTCGAATCACTTTTGTGCCTGTTGTTGTGATTCGCGATGTTGTGGCTTGTGGTGTGATCGAATGGACAAAAATCGGTTTGCTCACCGATGCAACCTTAACTGTTGGCGTGGATATTGGAATTTTATTAGCATTAACGACAACAATTGGAGTTTTGTGGGCACCACTCGCATTTTCGACGGGATTCTTTTTGATAACATCGGGAGTGAACAGTGATGTCATATCAATTACAATATTATCTGATTGGACTTTCTTTTCTTTTTGCTTCATTACGTTATTATTCTTAGTTTTATTGTCAATTGATAATGACGATGTTGATAATGATGATAATGATGATGATGATGATGGGTTGGCCTGTGGAGTTGTTGTACTGGTTGCCTTTTGAACGGCCGGTGATCTGGATGAATTGTCATGTGAAGTTGATTGTGGTGATTCTTTGACGTATGCAACTTTTGTGAGACGAGGTGTTGAGGTGACTGCCGGCATTGATTTCGATGTAGACGAAACGGCTGGTGAGACAGCAGATGCAGATTTTGCACTTGTGTTCAGCGCTTTCTTTGGTAATTTGGTTGCCTTTTTCCCTTTTGGCGTTACGCCATCATCAGATCCTGTGAAATCAATCGTACTGCGACGTCGTTTTTTGCTTGCCAATTTTTTCGCTTGGATTTTCCGTTTCTTTATCTTTTTCGCCGCACGCCTCGAATGACAGTCGTTCACACTGAAATCCAAGTCACTATCACGATCATTGTCGGTATCACTGGCGGTAAAATCAGAGAAATCAGTTTCACTTTCTGCTTCCTCTTCATCCGAATCATTTTGATCGGCCGTATTTTCATTTGAACTTGCATCGTCAACGCTTCGATTTCGACTAGAAATTGATGCATCCCGATCCAAACCATTTGATGGTATTGATTTCAATGACGGCCGGCCGACTTTCTTCGTTGTTGAATTTGGCGCGGGTGTTGTGGATGATTTTTGCTTCGATTTTGCATCGTTACGTTTTATGCCTTCGGCCACAGCTTCCGATTTATCCTCATTCAACGAGTCCGCATACGTGTATGGCGTGTAACAGTGATCATTTTGAATGATGTATCGCAAATGCTCGTAATCAGCTTTCAACTGTTTGGGATTCGTGATTCCTGCAATGTCTGTGGGAAATAAAATTGAGAACGAGAAAGAAATTCCGTTAAACTTGTCTGTTTGATCCTTGATAAAACGAGAAAATATGGTCTACACATTTTGTGGCTTACTCATGATTTCGGTAGCAAATTGAACCGCTTGTTCTGGATTGTAGAATTCTTCAACTGTCAAACCATAGCCGGGTATTTTGTTTTTTTTCTTCTTCTTCTTTTTCAATTTTTGACCTTTTTCTGTGCTTGCACCATCCGGATCGCTCTCTTCATTGCTTTCGGCACTATTTTTACTGTCATCGTCATCATCGTCACTTTGATTGTTGCTATCATTTTGGTTATCGTCGCCATCACTTTGTTTGGTCGAATTTTCTTCTTCATCTGTTTCCATGCTTGGCGTCGGCGAACCAACTCTTATTACGCTGACAGTTGATTTGGTGTCAGTGTTGGCATTCACTAAAATAAAAACGAACCATGAATATTGGTATAAGATAAGAATTAGCTGTGTCGCTTAATCGTGCAAATAACTCTTTCAATTTTTTTTATAACAACACACATACCACGAGACTATTTGTTTCTTTCAAAAATTGAATCATTCCAAATATAAACTCACCGATAAGGTCTTGTAACGCATTCGGATCAACTTGCACGCCACCATCCTTATGGATAAAAACAATGAGATTGTTGTCGGCTACTTCGGCTCGCGAACCATTGCCACTAGTTTCGACATTATCCAAATCCCGAAATACTGAATGCGACATTGGATTTTTAGTGCGCTTTCGACTTTTGGCCTCTACACTACGTATTTACTTGCAACACCTTAACAAAAACTACACATACACAATCTTTTGCCACTCTCAGAGTTGCAAGAATGAACGAAACGTATTTATTTACTGCCTCTTGGAAAATCGTGTGTTGTTTTGTTTTTGTATGTCTGTCATTTAGTTTCGATTTACAACCAGTTTGGTTTGTTTTGTCAACTACAGTCAATTATTTGAATTTAATTAATTAGGATCGGAGATGATGTGCAATGATTGCAGCGAATTCCGATATTTTGACGACAAAATCCAAACGGAAAGTTTTTTTTTGTGTATAATGGCAACCTTATCGAAATTTACTGAATAGAATTGCCGCCATAATGCATAAACTGGCCGTACATAAATTCGATTGGTCGTGAAATACGCGCTTATACAAAAACAAAAAGTGTTTATATATAAATTCGCCTGTGTACGAGCAGCAGTGATCTAATGAAAACGAAAAAAGAATTACATATATACGGAATTCTGTCGTAAGGTGGACTATACTGTACTTAACCAACGAACAAACGATTCAACACCACAAAATCACGCAAATCTAACCTATTTGTATTGAGTGTTGAGGCTGGTATCGGTGTATAAGTGCCCCACAGTCTATAAAAAATCACACCGTATTTCAACGAACTGAATATATTCGACGTTTTTTTTCCTTCTGTCTACTACTACTCCTTCTTTTTCTTCTGAATTTCTTCTTCCTCTTCTTTTTAGCTTTATTATTTTGACAATGGTTTCGACGTTGTTTCTCAAAAAACTGAAAACTAAATTCACGTTTCAGATCACATTTTCCGCACTTTTGATACTCCGAAAAAAAAATTGAAATAAAACAATGCACATGATTAGTTTTCGCTTAAATAAATTAAATGCAATTATTTTTTTTCCCTTCAGTTCAATTGGGGGTTATTTGGCCAAATGTAATTTGGTTCTTTTCTCGCTTGTCGACCGAAATTCGTATATGCGTCATTGTATGCGCGTACTAATATCATGTTCATCCATTTTTGTTTCGTTTGTTCGTCGTTCTCGTTCCCTGTTTTTTTTTTTATTCACACTCTTGGTATTGAATTGAATATTGGTTAGTATGTGGGTATGGTTTTAATGAAACCTTGTCGAAACACAAGTAAGTAAAGCATAAAATGAACAAAGTACGTATTTGAGCAAATGGATAGCGTTCTGTTTGGCTCAGTTACATTAGCTACAGTTAAATCAATGCTTATAGAGAACATAAACGCGCGCACATACACACACTCATACACAAACCAAACTTGGATTGAGCAACATTTTGACTATATACTTGACAAATACAACTGTACACCCTCGGCCATTTAACTGGCGTCATTCAATAGCACAATATGTCAATAGATGTCAGCACGAACTAATGCAAAGCAGTTTATGTTGAGGTGGATTGGATTAATTTTCATTAAGCTGTTTGGAGAAAATATTCCTTTTTTCATCGATGGAAAAATGAACGAATTTTAATTTGTTGAAATCAATTTTCAATGATTCAAAATGCTGAAAATACTACATCAAATGCGGATGGATTGAATTTCAACTGTGCTGATCGCAATAAAACGCGTTTGCGCCGCACTTGTTAACAATTGCGTTGTTGTGCTGTCGTTCACGTTGCGCATGTTCATACCACAAATTCAACTCTCATATCATATTATTGACGTTTTGCCCGACAATTTGTGATGAGACGTAATACTTGTCGTACATACAAGATTGAGTAAGAGAGAAAGTGTGAAAAGAGCAGTACAGATAGTGTGTCCGAATTGAAAACGAATAATTTTCAATGAATTTGAGCTAGTGATTCGCTGTGTGACATACACGAAGGCAAGAAATAATCAAATCAGCTTCAATTTGTTTTGGATTTCTGAACGAGAAAAAAAAGGAAAAAAAATCGCAGGCACATTTTCTCAAGTGGTTTTTTGTTCGCATATATATTCCCGAATTTAAACAAAAAAAGAAGCCATGGCTAGCCAAACTCAAGGAATCCAACAATTGTTAACAGCTGAAAAACGAGCTGCAGAAAAAGTTGCGGAAGCAAGAAAACGTAATTATTTTGACAATTGTTTTCTTTCTAATCAACACACCAAATCGCAATTGAATCTAGTCTAACTGTAGCTTTTTGTGTAGCTGTGTAAGCTAAACCTTTGTTCGTATATGTTGCAAAATGAATAGAGAAGAGAAGAAGAAGAAGAAGAAAAAATGTAGAAAAGTGCCTGGATACTTTGTGTACAAATGAAATGACAATTCATTTCAATTGGATTTTATTTCATTTTAATCAATTGTTCAAACACATTTGTCCATAAATATGCAAATGCTCGTCGTGTATTATCGAGAGTTACAGTTAGAACTCTGTGTAAAGAGGAAAATTATTGGGTGGATAATTAAAAATTTAATGATGCCATTGATATTGTTGGAAGGCCTTGAAATGATCAAATTCATGTGAAATAGCTTTCAGCTGTTTTATTTCTTTAAGTTTTTTTTTTTGTTTGCTTTCTACTGTATCACACATATATTGTTATTGTAATTGATGTTGTTATACCAATTGAGGAAATTGCATGAATCTCATTCGGTTTAATTTGAATGCCTTTTCATCACTTGTATGTCAGTTTGTGTGTTCATTTTTTTTTTGTTCAAATGTTGACACTAATAAACATTGGTTCACACTGGTTATAGGCAAACAACGTCGTTTGAAGCAAGCCAAAGAGGAGGCCCAAGAAGAGATCGAAAAGTATCGTTTGGAACGTGATCGTCAATTCAAAGAGTTCGAAGCCAAGGTAATTACCACTTGAGGCTGAGGTACCATAGCAGTCTCATATAAAGCATTCAATGAACCTCATATAAAGCATTCTAATATAATCGCATATTCAAAATAATCGTAATTGAAAACCAAATAAATTCGTTTGTCTTGATTTGTGTTTTAGCACATGGGCTCAAAAGAAAGTGTTGCTGCTAAAATCGATGCGGACACTCGCGTGAAGATAGACGAAATGAATCGGTCAATATCAACAAATCGGCCAGTATTGATTCAAGAGCTGTTAGACTTGGTCTACGACATCAAACCCGAATTGCACAAAAACCTTCAGCTCCAGTTGCAGAACTAAGCTGAATAAAATTGCGACAGACACATATACACACATTTAATAATTCGCGATACAAATACTACTAACACATACATTATTTTCAAACAAAAAACTAAATCCTTTTAAATCAAATTTCAAGAACAAAAAATAATCAGCTACAACAAAACGAAACAAAACAAAAAACAACAACCGTTTCTTCTTAGTCAATACACTTGCAACCATATTTTAGTTTTATTGTTTGTCCAATTTATCGCGCGCAAGTGATGCATGCTGGTAATGCCATGCCAAGCATTCACTGTCGATGTGCAACGACACAAAAAACATCGCACACCATCAAGAGAGAGAAAAAATTAATATCCGAATGAAAATAACAAAAAATGTTGTGGCCATAAATGGTTAAAGCACGATTGATATTGGCGCACTATATTCTAATCAAATATATAGATAAACAATAACAACAAAAGCAAAAGGGATGCAAATATTAATGAAGTAAAAGAAAACAAAACAAAGATATGCAAGAAATGAGATAAATACAAGTATGTTCTAGAGAATAGGAGTAATAATGATAATAATAATAGATAATAGTTCATGAAAACAAAATAATAATCACTTTATTTGAATTCAATGTGTTATGTATATTGACGGTCAATCGCGTTCTCTATTATTCGTTAAGATTTTTACTATTTTTTTTTGTTTTAAATCAACCCCGATTCGATTTTTCGCCGTCACCGCCGGTACCGTAGCCGTGCCTAAAACGATTTTGTTTGTAAACTTTTGTTTTTCTTTTGCATACGATTTTAAGCTTGTATATTTAATTTTTCAATATGTTTCCAAATACGTTTTTTTCTTACTTTCTTTCTTTTTTTTGCTTCAGTCTAAATTCCATGGCTATTGAATTTTTTATTCATGAACATTGAACATTCACAAGTATTATTACATTGCGTTATTTTTATTATTTTTTTTGTTTTTTTTTTTAAATCAAAAGCACAGTTAGCTGTATCCCAAGTTATTCCGTTGGAGTTATTTAAGCACAATTTGAATGCGACAAAGCACGATAACGAAACGAAAAATCCAAAATAAAACACACACACACACAGAGAGAGAGAGAGAGAGAGTGTAACGAAACATTTATTGTTTAGGTGATTTTTTTCTCATATTAAGATCACTCTAACTCTGGCCATATTATAAAATCTGTAAGAATGTGGTTCATGCATGTTATTGTCCATAAATTCTGTTGAATAAACCATACAATTTATGATTATGTGATGATGTTTTGATTGCGTATTATTGTTGCTGATGCTACTCTCAGAATTCAAAGGAGGCAAACTAAAAAACATATAGTGTAAAACATCAAATTACCCACTGTTTTTTGTCATTGTAGACAAAATGTCAGTTTACCTCCGCTGTATTAAAATTGTCAGCAAAATGTCATTTTACCTACATTGTTCATACAATGGAACACCGTTCCACCAAAAATGCCTACAATGGCAAAAAACAGTGGGTAATTTGATGTTTTACACACTATATGTTTTTAGTTTGCCTTTTTTTAATTCTGAGAGTAGATACTTGTTGATATTATTAATGTACTTATTTCTATCAAGGGGGGTTTTGTTGTTTTTTGTCAACGGACGGTATATCACCAGAGAGTGTTATGGGCCGATGTCAGCAGCACTAACTAACGTCAGCTGCTGATATCAGCTGCTGACGAGTATGCATTGTGTTATTTTAACGCATTTGCAGTACAAAATTCGTATTCCTTTCTGGGTGCCAAGTCAAATTTGAAATAAAACTTGACTTGGCACCCAGAAAGGAATACGAATTTTGTACCGCAAATGCGTTAAAATAACGCAACGCATACTCGTCAGCAACTGATATCAGCAGCTGACGTTAGTTAGTGCTGCTAACATCATCCTTAAACACGCTCTGCATATCACACTCGTTCAGATTATGCATTTTCATCGATGAGCAAAGCTGTGCACGCTCTGCATATCACACTCGTTCAGATTATGCATTTTCATCGATGAGCAAAGCTGTGCAATTTGAGCTCACTTAATTTGGCCAAAGTTTAAATGAAACAAACCGTTTTAGAGTTTTTCCGAATACAAATGTCATTTTCATTTTACTGTTACTATCATTATTTCATATTTTTTGTTTTTTTTTTTGTTTTTTTTTTTGTTTCTCGCTTAAAGATTTATAAACTAAATTACATCCACTTTGAAAGCATGTTCAACGGTAAAAAAATGAATTGACAGGAGGAAAAAAAAACACTAATGATTAAAGGGTTTGATTTCATTTGTGAATGTGTTGGTTTTCTATTTTTTTTTTCGTGTTTACACGTCCGAACCAAATGATGATCATCGCTCTTCGAGAATCACCGTTTCCTGAGGACAAAGTTTGTGATGCAGCATCGTTTCGCTTTTATCCAACATTGTTAGCTAAAATATGGCAAATAATTCGATTCGTTAGTTACAGTCAACCAATTTCAACCGAAGGATTCGATAAAAATTCATGTCGAATTGTGTACTTACATCGCGACGTGGCCAACTCGAGATAACCTTGTATTCATCGATGGGGAAACCTTTTGATGCGACAAACTTCAAGAGCGTGTCCAATTTGTCGGCAGCAAAGAAACGTCGTTCCATAAATTCACCGGTCGGTTTTCGAATGCGAATTTTTGTGGTGCCTTCAGCATCTTCGGCTGGTTCGGGTGGCGTATTTTTCTCAGCCTCCAAACGGTTCATTTCGCGTATCATTTCAATTTCCTGTCGTTCCAATTCCAATCGTTGTCGTTCCGATGCAATTGCACGTTCTTTTTGCATTTTTTCCTCCTCCTTTCGTCGGTCAGCCTCCAAACTTTCATGGTACGCAGCATCTTGTTCCATTTTAACTAATTCACGTGCGGCCCGTTCATCCTCTTCGCGCACCTCAACGTCACGTTGCTCCGAATACAGTTTCATTGTGTCCATCAGTTTGTTCAACAAATCATCTATGCTAACGTCACCGTATATCACAGACAAAACCTCGCAAACACTACGGTATTTGCAAATGACCAGAATCGCTGGCAAACGGCTCGTTTGCATTGTACGAAGTGGAAGTAATGCACTGCTGTTGCCAGCGCACGCCGACAATGATGATAAAAACAGATTTTTGTTGCTTTCGTTGGTTAGATCCCAGCCGTATAAAATAAAATTATGCTCTATCGTTTGTCGAATTGTATCGTTCTTCATGACACGATCACAAAACACATTGGCCAACACACTTTTGTCGTGATGCAAATAAATTGCTAGCAGTTTTCGCTACAAACATTCGATGGAAACAATAAATGAAAAGAAAACATTTAGAATAAAAGTTGTTGCTAAGAGTGAGAGAGAGAGAGAATCAAGAGTTTTTTTTTTTAATGACTTACGTCTTTAGCTGGTTTATGACAAGCTTCACCGAGAGCCTCTTCGAGCGTACCTTCAAAGAAATGCGGATATGGTTCGCCATACCTGAAAATCGATATGAACTAGTATAATTGGGTCAAGGGTTTGTTTCACTAATTGTATACCGTTCTCTGTAATTTTGAATGAATTGAGTGCATCCCAATCGTTCGTTGTCAGTGCCATCGGGTACTACAATGAGAATGGAAACCATTAAGTAAACAGCTTCAAATTGGAGATCAGTGAAATGTGTATAAAACAATAAGACTTCTACTAACTCAAGTCGTTGCGTCGTCGATTCGCTGCAGGTGCAGCGAAGATGTCATCGTCACCATTGAAATCAGAAGCATCTTCAAATTCGTCGATTGAACTGTCCGAATCGACTTCGATCAGTTCGTTGTTGTGATTCGATCTGGCATTGGATGAAGCAATTGCACCCGTTTGGTTTGGTTTGTTCTGATTTGTCGGTGTTGTGTCGGCTGTGTTTAAAACTAAATTGTGTTCGTATGGAATGCCAGCCAACGCTAGCGTTGTATCATCGGACACTCCGGATGGCCACCCGTGCCATTGTTGGTGACGGACCGCAATGTTTGTCACCGAATAAACGTCCTTCTTCACATCGGCAATGCTTCGTGTGCCGGGAAAATTCAATTGCAGTGGCGATGTATTATCTGTACCACCAAGCATGATGTTCAATGTGAATGTTCGCGTGAGTCGCTCCACATCCGTATCGTCAACAGCGCCAATGAGATCTTGAACGTCGTTCACAATCAATTCATTTTCATCGGACAAATTCATCGTGTGCAATTCAGTGGAATCATCCGAATTTTCTGATGACTGAACCCAGCCGCACCACGATTGGCGACACGTCGGAATGGAAGTAACCTCAAATATTCTGGCTTTCAAGTCACCTAAATAAAACGAAGTCGATTGATTGATTTTCTTTCCATTTACATTTCACATTTCCACACAGACATTTAAAGATATGAACAATTGGCCACAAACCTATTGTTGATCGGTCGGAGACAACAACATTGTGTGTTGTATACTTGTGATGAATATTAAATTTAATGTCCTTTGGTGAACTAGCTGCTGAAGAATGGGCTACCGAGCACTCGCCATTTGTTTGGTTATTGTGTTCGTCATCCATGCCTTCATCGTTCAAATTTTGTAAATTGCATTCATTCGAATTGGAACTGGTAGCTGACATCGGCTCTGAGGGCAGACACAGAGAGAAAAAAAAATTCCAATTAGAATCTAATTTGTGGTAGCTAACTCGAAAGAAATGATAATTGAACCGACGCGCAATAATACCAAAAAAAAAAAAGTTCAGTGTGTTTTTCTTACCGGACCCAAAAATGTTTCTTTGTAACAGCGCTGAGGGTGATGCTGGCATTCGATTTTCATTCGATGATAAGCCAGCAATGTTTAAATTATTCATCGAATTCGCATTGTATGTGGATGGTTCAACGTGGTCTTGCGGAAGAACTCTGCTCACAGCCGCCTAAATTGCGTAGCAAAAACAACAACAACAATAAGACATTTGATTCGATGATCGTTTTCGATTCATCGTCGTCAACGTCGGTGACGATATTTATGTGCTGTTTTTGTGTTATTTACTGTATAATGTTGTATTTTGTATTGCACTAATTTACGCGCAAACGACGCACTTACCAATAAATCCCAGTTACTTTCTTCCAAGTAGAATATCGCTTCGGCTACATCGTCTATACCAGTGATACTCTAAAAATAACATAGATGCGTTAATAATGAGATCGAACGGATTGGTTGTCAAAAAAAAAAAACAAATTTGGTGGGATATGAACTAGCGTTCATGTTATGACTAAATATTCCGTTGTCTTGTCATGACACGAACAAAAATGTCGTTTCAAAAGTTTACACAAGCAAAAAAAATGAATCCATTGTGAAATAATAAACTAAAAAGAATCTAGAGTGTCATTGTTTTTAGACATAACCTATTCGTAGAGCGAGAAAGAGCATTTACACAAACGAAATAGTAAGACTAATCACACACGGAACAGTGGAAAAATACGAATAATCGATTGCTTGTGCACATTTTCTTTGTCAAACGTGCCTATCAAATTCATAGTCACTTCACAATTAATACGAAATTCGCACATAAAACTTAAGGCAACACGTATTATTTGATGAAAAAAAAACCATACCTGAAAATTGGCCAAAATTTCCTCTTGCGTCTCTTGTGTTTCCTGATTTTCAGACATTTTTTTTCACACACAAGAAAAAAACGAATCTCTTTTTTTTTGTACTAAACTTCGAAATATCCCGTCTAACTAATAAAAGAAAATTTGACTTTCAATCAGTTTTATTATAGAAAATTTTCTTTCGCAATGTTGTTTCGCTAATGTAACAATGAGAATCGCTCTCGATTTTTATGCAGCACGAGAAAGACAGTGTAGTGTATTGACGAATTTTTTTTTATTGTTTTCTTTTGTTATGAGATTTCCTTCTGCGAATAGTTTATAAATCGTTGGACCGTTCGTTCGTTCGTTCTTACTACTGCACACACAACAAAAGCTTATGCTGTTTTTTTGATTACTCTTTTTATTGTGCTATACAACGTATTCTTTCTGTGTCACTGTGAATCTAATACACTTGAATCTTTGTGTCTATGTGATAAAAAAAAAACATTTGACAAGTCGAATGAATCCAAACAACATGCTCCGTTGGCAACCCTATTGATGAATTCAAATGACCCTATTGATGAGTTCAAATTGCGGACCGTTTTTTCTTAATTTTTTTACTTCATTGAAATAGCGCATTCAATTCAAGTTGTAACAAAATAAAGTTTAATTTTTAGATGAAATTTGAATTTAAAAACGTTTTGTTTGTGATCATGTTTCGAAAGTCACACTGATATTTAATGCTTAGTTTAAGAGTGGCAACAAAAAATTGCAAATTTGACAGTCCAACCAAAAGCAATTAACGCAAACGCGTTGATGAGCTCGGACATCGAGTCCATCGATCCGAGTCACTGAATATATATGATTCGAGATAAAAATTTATTCAATCTGTGAACTGAATTCTTAATTGAAACATTTACACAAGAGAAAATTGATCGATTGAAAACAATGACAGAGGAACATTTTAATAAGAAATTGAGTCGTTTTAATTGTATATTGATTGCATGATCTCAGATCATTGATCTGCATTGGATTGTCATTTGTACGCTTGTTTTCACATCTTAACGGAACTGAAGAGTTGAGATAATTCAAGGTCGGATAATCCACAGGTGTCTGCGAGCGATCCACAGGTACCTACGAACCAATGGCAAACCACATTGGATTTCGGGATCTTTTCGTGAACGGCTCTTAGTTTCCTTCTATAGTTTGTGTTGTTATTGGTGTTCTACTTCGGACATTCAGGAATAATTAACGTTGGCACTGGGTGGTGGAGGAACAATAACAACATCTTCTTTAACTTCTCGAACAACGACCGTGATCCTAGAAGTGAGTCCATATTCATTCCCAAAGGGACGACACGTTTTGACGAAGTCTACGGCGAACTCATGAACTATCGAAAAGTCAATACAAAATGATACGAGAGTTCGTGGCGCTGCGAGCGCTCAAATGATGTTTGTACTGAAGTGTCGTCAGCTTGTTCATTCCAACGAATGAAAAACTTCATCCAAAAACCATTACAAACAGCGTTTTCACGAGAGTCATTAAATCCATGTGTAATTTTCTTCAAGAATCTCACGGCGTGATAATGAATCTTGAGTCGCGTTCGATTGGACTCATCCCAAGTTAACGCCAAACATCCTATGTATTTGAGAAAAGTAAAAATTATATAATTTAAATTGAATTTTGGGTGTTTTATGATTAAGATACAGTAAGCGTCAAAAGTTTTGGCACAGTTAGTTTTTTTTCAGGTTTTATATATGAATGTCCGAGAATGAAAATATAAGTGAAACAAAAATTTTTTATTTTGGTTTCACTTATATGTGTTGTGAATAGAAGTTGCGTTTTCATTCTCGGACATTCATATATTTATTGTTGTTTTAACGAAATTTCTTTATGGTTTTATGAAACGAGTAGAAATATATAAATTCATAATAGTTTTTTCGAATTTAATTTACCGTTACTGTAGATAAATGACAAAAATCAAAAATCACGCGTCAAAAGTTATGACACACTTTAGGAAAATTGGTCAAAATCTTGAATATCTCACAATTAATTGTCGGTATTTGGCATTTAAATGAAGATGGTGACTCAAATCAAAGGTCCTGGTACTTTGTTTTGCATTTTAATGATGGCCTTAAGTCATGAAGCTGGCCGGCATATGGCCAAAATGTGGTTTTTTGTGTTTTTGACCACCCTGTATTTTTAAGGCCGGCCATCTGATTAAAATGAAATATATACAGTTGGAAACGTCTGGAAGTACTTCCACCAAAGGAAAAATACCTTTTTATTTATTGACTAAAAACCAATCGGTTTTTGGTTGTCCTTGAGTTTTTGTCCGATTTTCTTCACGAATTTAGCTTTTTTTGTATAATTTTACCAAGCCGATACTTGATTTTTCGTTCTACACATTATATGTTTATATTTTTATTTTTTTATCGAATTCTATAAACTACATGCCAACTATGGTACGGCACAGCACACATAAAACGAATGGTGAAAAAGTACAACTTTCAATTAATTATTATGGTTGCTGAATTCATCCGTGAAATGTTAATAAAGGTTTCATTTGGCATTAGTGAGAGATAGAGAGAGAGAGAGGAATTCACTTCAGGGAATTGGTTATGCTAATGGTTACGCCTCAACTAATGCATAATCGAATGCTCACTGTCCGAAAGACACTGGAAATGAACAGCAATCTCATGAAAATAAAAATCGTTACAAAGTAAAGAAAAAATTGGAAAAAGGTCTTCGACATTGTGCACTATATGTGTTTACGCATTGTGACTGCCCCACGCCCGCTCATTATTTATTACGTGTATTTATGCATATATGCGGTGCGTATCATTTGTTTACATTCGAATAGTTGAAATCAAATCTTGAAAGATTAATACTATTGAAAATAGTATCAGGGTCATGTGAATAAACTGCCAAATATGAAGTGAATGCCTAAACGAGAAGAAAAACAACAACAAAATAACATAAACAAAAACAATGAGCTAAAACTGGCAGTTTTAAACTGCGAACTATCCGCATGAATAATGAATTCGATATTACTGTTGACAGCGCAACATTTACTAAATGGGTTCATTTAAAATCCACTTGATTTGTCAAATGAGAAAGATACATATGCCTTTCGTATAAAGCGTCTAACCAATTGAGCCATGCAATTAAAAAAAAAATGAAATACACACATACACACTTGACCAAAACGAAGTCAGATTCAGGGTTACATAAAGTCAATGCAATCTTATCACAGAGCGTATTCCTTCCCGAGATTTGAGAGCGCGTAATTTGCATTACTTTTTAATTTTGTGCTAATTTGAGAAAAAACGAGAATGAAACATTGATGAAAATTGTGCGAGTCAGAGAATCAAGCGCGTTCACGCCAAACCTATTCTAGAATTTAAACAGCTGCTAATTAATGATGATATATGTAAATGATTTTGAATTCGGTGTTATTTTGAGTTTTGCCAATACTCAATTCAGAATGTATCTCGCATGGCTTTTCCGTTGTTGTTTTTTTTTCAACTTCTTAAATTGGAATTTTGTTGACTTTATTTTGGGAGAGGGAAAATTTATGAACTCCAATTTAAAATCGGAAAAACACGAACGTGCAAAGGAAAAAAAAGAATTTCATTATGACTTGGCAGCCATAATTCATAGAAAGAATATCGCATGAGATATTCACGGACACAAAAGGCGTTTTGCGTTTTATGATCAGCTTAGGCGTATATTCACATATGATGCTGGAAATACCGCAACTTTTGTGTGTATGGATCTTGTCAAATTGCTTTGGTTCCATTAACGAACATTTGCTTCTCTTTTTTCACTGTTGATATTTTATAAAGAGAAAATCAGATTTGTTAAGCTATTCAATGTGTTTAGACAAGCGAAATCCGTTGAACTTGTGCAATTCTCAAATGTGCCATAACTCGCGATGAATCAGTGCCATTGAATGAGCTTCAAAATTCTAATACACCGTAACCACAATATGAAATGCAACGCAATTCAATGACAAAAAGAAACCGTTTTTCTTCTTGATTCCTCGTCGCTAAGTGTTTGCTAATCAATTTGCATGCGTTTTCCTCTTTCTGGAAGCGCATTCTTTGGGGCAGAGACTGTTAAGTCAATTTATCAATCGACCCTTATTAGCTCCACATGATTTAATTATTTCTCGTGTCAATATGTGTGTTATTTGTATTTGTTTCATCATTCTTAAGAGAAGGAAGGCAATGATTTGAAATTCAATACAAGAGCGAACATGGTTTTGCAATTTCGTTGGCTTGCGGGTCGTTTTGTCTTTTGGTGTATGTTCACTGAGTGTGTGCATAAAATAACAATTAAAATGCGAACGAGATCAACAATAGCCAATTGGCTGAGAGCAATTTATTGCAAGCTCACCACATTTATGCAGTCTCTTCACAGCCGCATTCATTTATCTCTTTCGGTTTGGTATTTTTCATTTTCAAATTCATTCAAACATTCACCGTAATTCATATTCATGCACACCGTATCCGCTAAAGAAATAAAAAACCGTCGAAATCCAACAAATTGTAATATGTTCCGGACCATAGCACCAAATTGGGCTGTTTAAATTCATAAATAAAAGTGCTTATAGATTTCATAATCCAAGAGTTAATATCGTTCAGCCAATACGTTTTGAGCGCCGTTGAAACTCGGGCAACACGGTGAAACACAAAACTACTTTGACAGCTCACAATATCATATTATCCCTATCGGAAGCTGTTGTCAAAGTAATCCAATCGCTCTGTATAAAAAATAATCACATTATATATTGCTTTTGGACTGGAACCAGTTGAATATTGCTATAAGCAGTAGTAAAGACTTAGCGCAATTCATTTTTAAAACACTGAAAGTGCAAAACACAAAATGTCGAAAAGTTCAAAAAAGAATTTCTTTGTACTTGCAGTAGTTCGCATCAAATTTATTTATTCATTTATTTATTCAACAAATGATGTTATTCACATACATGTATGCCCTTAAAAACTATGTTTACATTTGAAATTTAGAATATACTAGTGATATGCAGTCTCAATTTACTAAATTGTTTTCAAAGTTAGTATTTAATCGTACTAAATTAAGGACAAAATCGTGCTGCAATTCACAATCAAGACACTGCAAGTGCAAGTTGTGTCGGTGTGCGATTTCGTAGTGTCTGTGTGTGATAAAGTATATCAGAATGATTTTTCACCGTTCATTTGTACGCATTCGTTCTTAATTTGGTACGTTCACGTTTGGTGACCTTTTGTCATTCGTTGAAAAAAAAATTACTCGAAATTACATTTCCAAATTAACTGTTTTTTCAATGAACAAAATAAAATTTCCCAAACATGAACACACTAACTTTAGTATAATTCATACGGTGGAAACAAATTAATAAGAACACAACCGAAATAATATGCAATGAATGTTTTTTTTTTAATTTTCATTGCACGTGAAATGAAAATGTGTTCAAACATGGTATAGTGAGGTTATGTGTTACACTGCAAGTGCTACTGTCAAGCACA